GTGCATACACTTCCGAAAGGAAACACAGGCAGTAATGGGGAAATGACCACATAATATTAACCCAAACGTCACACTGGGTGCATCGACTTCAAAATCCTCCTAGCATGGTTATGTAAAACCACTCGCTTGCAACGTGATTACTTTGTCCCCAACGCAATGAGGAAGGCTCGACAGATCAATCATCGTCGCCAAACACTGTCGGCGATAACTTTTAGCGATTTTCTGAAGACCAGGATCATTATGGTACAAAATACTCAAAATGCAACGAGGCAAACTTTGAGTTTACAACGGGGCCGGCGGAAAGTTTTTCAAAGGGAAGGGGGAGGGGCACTAGATGAATGGGAATATGAATTGCAAGAGTTCACTTGCGCGACGGAGCATCTCACGGGTCGGGTCCAGGGGCGAAACTCTGGGGTTTTCAGACATTTTCAGTACAGTTTGACGAGCTTATTTAGCATAGATGAAAATGTAACTCGGTCGGGATTAAATAAACGCTCTCTTCCCTCTCCTCCTTCTTTTCTCTTCAGGGGCGGATCATCTGGGTTCAAATTTAAGGGGAGGGGTTATTTTCATTTTCCCAAAAAATCCATGTAGGGGTCTAGGGGTCTTCCGGACCCAGGGAAAATTATGATACCAGATATGAGCTTTTAATTAATGACTTGAGTTCTTCAAGATTCAAGGTTTTCTCCTCTTGAAAACGAATCCATTAATCATCAATGAACCCCAAAAAGAAAAGGGGGTTCGCGTTCTCCTCGGGAAAATGTTGATTTCTCGACTTCTAAAGTGTCTTTTAATGATTTTCAAGTTCTTCAAAATGCAAGGTTTCCCCCTCTTGGAAACGGTCAGGTAATTTTTTTCTATTCTTACAGTAAGTAGGCCTACGTACCTTTTTTTTTCATGAATCGATAAATCCCAAAAGGAAAGGGGCTCCGGTCCGGAAAAATTTTGATTCCTATAGATAGCGGGAAATGCGCTTTCCCGACTCCTAAGGTGGCTTTTAATTACTTCAAAATTCAAGGTTTTCCCCCTCCCGATTCCATGACTCGATATGAACCCCAAAGGAAAAGGGGGTCCATGTTCCCCCTATGAAAATGTTGATTTCTAGATTGCGGGAAATGAGCCATCATTCAAGATCTTACCCCC